AACAACCAAAGAATAAATAAACAATTTAATTTAATCAATGTGAAATATTTGAACGCGTGATTAGAGTTTTTTCGATATATTGATCCTCAAAACCAAAGCTATCTGAGCTCTGAGCTTTAAAACTCAACCAATCACTTTTCGTTCCACTCAATTTTTCTGCAAAGAGCATCAGAATCATTGCCTTGGTTAACACGGGTAAATTGTCTGGTTTGCGCGAGGAAATTAATTGTTTATAAAGGAAAACTCTAGACTTCTCGAAAACAACGAGTTTTGCGCTTCTTAAAACCATGGCTTCCTTGCTCGTGTAGTTATTTGAAACTACCACAAGACAATTTGGTTCTGAGAGCCCGAAAATATGACAACCGGTCAATTCAAGTTTCACGCATGCGCAAACGTTTGAAATCTGTGTTCTCTCGGCTGCGCTTCTTGAGCCACTTTTATTTTTATCGTTCCAAAATTTGTCGTCACCCACGATTTAAACCTAAACATAAGTAAAACAACACGGAGTTAATTTGTTAAGTAGATAGTCACAACTAAAAAACTTCCCTTTGCATCGATTGTGGAGTTTCTCAGCTAGCTTATGACCGAGAAAGGCTGTGCGCAATCGTGTATCAGTTGATAGCGACGACATATCGAGTTCTTGCGATAAGAATCGATCCCAATCTTTCTATGAATGGTAAGGTACCAACGGTAATTGTTCATAGTCCATTTATGGATGAATAAACCCGAGCCTGACTCGGTTTATCCATCGGTGGCAATGATGACGATTCTTGCTCACAAGTGCGGGCCATAGACAGATTTGTCTGTACTACTTACTTTTCGGACACAGATTTCCGTTTTTCCCACTGTGACAAACAAAATTAAACAGCACCTTTCCGTTTTTTGGCCTCCATACACACCTTATTCCCCTTTTCTTTGACCTAGTTACCTGTTTGAGGGCTCAGTGGCCCGATTAATCATTATTTGCAAAGCGGTAACAAAATTAACTGTTGGGCGTAGAAATTAAAAAAATTTAACCGTTAGTCATAAAAAAAAAAAAAACAAAGCATGAAAATTTTCTGTTAATCCAAAGGACAGAAGAATAAAAGAAATTAACCGATAGTTGTGAAACAGCCAAATTTTCAACCGTTAGCGATGAAATCCATCACCCTGTTGTGACCATTCCGTTTCTCAATCTAAAATGTTACCTTATGTAATACTGATAGGAACACTCTCTAAATGGATAATTCTATTTTATTAGGTGCTTTGTTGTGAAGTATCGCTGAGTATTTTTACGTGTTGTGCAGTATTTATACGAGCCCATAGGGTGAGTCAAAATACAAACAAAGAAAAAAAATACTCAACGATTCTACACGAAAAAATACCTCTAATTAACAATTATTCCACTCGCGCTTGTTGGATATGAGATGATTATAGCCAACTCGGCGATACGCGCCTTGTTAACTATATATCATCTCATATCCAATGGCTAAGCCAATAAAAACTCTTGAATTGCATTAACCAATGATTCAGTTTTTAATAATGAAATATATATCATCCAACATGCCCAAGTGTTATTTCAGTGAAGGTGAATCTCGCGGATATAACTGAAATACATAATATCGGATGATATTTGTGCTCGTCTCGCACGCTATTTGTTGTCTACGAAGCACAGTTGGATAATAATAAGAAACATTTTACTAACATGACCATTTAGTATTTATCCTGACTTTAAGTGATTTCTTTTTTTCCTTCTCATTACTGCGTAAAAAACAAAACAATAGGTCGCTTGGAGCGAAGAGTCAGCTTTCAGCGACAGCCTTTCTCTAGATTGGGGGAGAGACGTTTTTCTCCTAAAAGCCCTTTTTTAGTATCATCGAGCATAAAAAAGCTTCAGAGTGTTCAATTAAGGCGTCAACTATAGGTTGCAGATGCAAATTTCGCAATTAATTGAGTTCGCGCTTTGTGTATTGTTGGGTGGAATTTTCGTAAATGTGCATATTATGTTGACCGGTTGTGCCAGAAACTCAACGAAACCACATATTCCTATATTTCCATACTCCTGTACCCTATTTTAGTTACTTTGAATAAAAATATAATGGGAAAAAGGTTGGAATTTTGCGCTGAGCCGAGAATAAGAGTTGCATATTTACTGTCATGGCGATAAAGGCAAAGTAGGCGTCAAACTGATAAATACTTTTGAGTGTAAAAAAAATATCAAAATTTTCGTTTGGTTTCGAAAAATCAATGAGGATTTCAACAACTTTTAGACAGACAAATGGGAAAAGTTTTCAAGAAATCGATCTTTTGAGCTGAAATGAAGCGAACTGCTTTCAGAGAGACTGCAGAGAGTCAGCTGTTAAGTACCATGTTTACCGGTGCAATTATATCCATATTTGGTTCAACATAGTACATAGATGGCAAAGAGTATGGAAAAACAAAATTGTACCATTTTGACTTCTTAATTTCTTCTACCAGATGATCAATCTTTAAAGGCGAATTTTCAACGAATCGCGTTATAATATTGGGAGCAAGCGTTTCAGATCTAAACGTGCAGTACATGTAAACCATGTCTGCCAGCATTATTGATATGCCTATGTGCACTGGGCATGAAAGCGTATGGTAACTTTGACAAACAAAAGTGGAGCAGGAATTTCCTTTAACAAAACTTTAAATCAAGGCTCATGCCAATCATTGTCAAAATTAAACTTGACTGACAAAATTGAACCAAAGGTGACTTTTCAAAGCAAGCTCATTGCAATTTGTGGCTTTCCAGCTCCTCGGTGACTAGTTCATCTCAACCAAGCTTTTAAAGTAATTGACGACAATCTTGTTAAATGCAAATCTAAAGTTTTTCATTTAAACTGCCAACTTTGATTTAGCCCCCGTGTATTTACACCCGAAAACTACGAAAAAATGTATTACTTTAACCAAAATAACATCAGAATCACTAATTAAAAGCTTCCACACAGAAAATCTTCTCATTTTTATTATCAGTCCATGCTTGAACGCAACTTTCATTTCAATTCAACAAAAGACTGTTTATACGAATAAAAAATGCAAAAGGAACTTTACTCAGCCTAAAAAGCAACAAAGTTCGTGCTTAAAAGCTATTAAGGAAGTTGTGGGAAAAGTAGAGAAAAATTCACAAGATTTGTTTTCTAAAATGAAAACCAGTTGTTTTACGCTATGATCAAAGTGGAAAGCGAAGATTACATATGTTACGCTCTTGACTTTTGAAAAAATAAGTGAAACAAAGAGAATATATATATATCTTATTAGACGTTTCGTTGTGTCGTATCGCTGAGTATTTTTACGAGTTGTGCCGTATTTTGACGAAATAAATACGAGTATTTTGACGAAAATACAAATAACGAGTAAAAATACTCAGCGATACTACACAACAAAACGTCATATAAGTTATTTATTACCCAACACGCCAAATTGTTGTTTCAGTGCGGGCGAAATTCGCGAATATTTATTTACGGCGAGTGCGTGAGAGAAGTATGCGAAGCGGAACGGAATTGGCGCAAGATAGTGGGCTTACTGATTCGTAAAAAGCATGACAACACGTCAAACTGGTTTTTGTGGTTTCGAGCGAGCCATCACTGGCGCAATTTTATTTCACTTTTCACAACATGCGAAAGAGTCTTTCGATCGTTTAAATTACAATCATTGCAAGTGTTTCAGTTTGAGATTTCTATTACATGTAAGAAAGAACAAAGAAAATAATTTGTTTTTTGACAAGCGAAAATTTCGAATAAAGGCGAATTTTCATTACAATTTTCTGGGTAAAACTGTTGAGCTCGAAGTTCATTCATTCATCATTTTCCTTGTGGAGAACGATTCTTCTTCGCTTGGAAGGAATCTGGGGAGATTTTCCGCCGATGAAAATGGTGCAGTTGTTGAAAACTGCACCATAGAAAAGCTGATTTCCACAAGCAGTACTGGCATTTGTTCCTGTGGCCATGGAGCTCTGAAGATGGCTATTTAAACTCAGCTGATTTAGCGCTGGGCGAGCACCACAGTGGCTGCTTATTTTCAACGAAATTTCTTTTTGCTGCTCTACTGATACAGTGGAATAAGAATCTATGGATTTAAGATTCTTATGTCCAACTAATTGGCTGATATCTAGCGGATTGGCGTTTTTGTGGCGTAATGCTGTAATCATCGTTCGACGAGCAGAATGGTTTGTGTGTTTTCCGGTAAGGTTTACGGAATCTGCCATCATCCTCATGAACTGACCCAAGGAATGGATACCGAGAGGCTGTCGTTTGTACCAGACTTCAGTTTTCGGACTTTTGATCACGGCCAAGTAGAGTGGGGAATCTGGTTTAATCATGTCCGGTGGTCTTCGTGCCAGAAAGATCTTGAAAATATTCACTGGAAATCGATCTCCGCCTGTCGCGTAGATGCGTGGACTGAAATACCTATGTGAACCAAACTCTTTCCCTCCGGTTCTCCTCTTGGATCCTCGCTCCATCTTCCATATGATGTATTCTCTCATTTCGCCGCCTTCTTCTCGCCGTATCTCAAGGTCCTCGAGCAGAACTTTGTGATGCTCGTCTCGCACACGCCAGCCAAAATGCATGGTGCTGTTTAACCAAACTGTACGGAGAAGAGCTTCAGGCGAATTGTCTCCAAGCTGTTTCGCGCTCCAAAACTTTTCAAGCTCATCATCTGTTAGACCCAGCGCCTTGTTTGGACGGCCTCCTTTAACTGACAGCTTTAGTTGCTTTCGTTTTGACTCCAACGTCTCGTGTGATTTTTCAAAGATATTATCTTGCATGATGCTGTAATTATTTCCGTGTTGCCGTAGATAGTTGTCGAGACTTCGTTGAAATGAAATTAAAGTTCCTGGCTCGAACTCTTTACCATTAAGTTTTCTGATTTTGATGAAAAAATGGGAAAGGAGGCTGTTCAGTTTATCTGGAGGAATATCCTCCATTGACCTCCTGTCGTTTATGGAGTCGCACCACCGAGTCCAAACATTAAGGTCTGTTTTTGTCTTCTTAGTCGTGTTATTATTCCTGTTTTCCTCAATAAACGAAGAAATTTCCTTGCCATCTAGCTGTTCTTCTGCATTCGATATATCCAATGAATCTTCATCTATATTTTCTAGCCATTCCGACAATTCATCGTCCCAAATAAAAATAAAGTTGTCCGCCATTTTTTTCCTAACTTCAATCCGATTCTTCGCTTGCGCGATGCGAAAAAACCTGTTTAACCGGTACTCTACAATAGACGAGTACAAATACCGTGTGATATTTATACTTGTCTATGGGGTTATTTGTACCCGTCTAGGTCTAGTTGGATAATGAAAACTGATATTCTTTTTATCTCCTACTCTTAAGCAAATAGTTTATTTGGTCAACCATAACCACTGTAGAGAGTATTGAGGGTGGAAACTTTGTACATACTTATTGTTTACGTCAGATATATATTTTAAATATTTCTGCCACTAGAATAAATATTATGAAATGATGCTATGGTAGTTTGGTAAAGCCTGGTTCACATATAATCGCAGACGATCGCAGACGATCGCACGCAATCGCACGATCGCTGAAACCACTCAACCGAAGATCGCGAATCGCATATTCACATATGATCGCAGCCGATCGCAGCGATCTGTGACAACTGAGTTCATGGTTTACCATTTAGCGGCAATACAATGTAACTTCAGTCAACCAACATAAACTCAAAGGACGCTGAACTTTTAGTAGGTGTTAACATTCTGGTTCTGTTGTCTTTACAAAAACGGAGAATCGCTGCCAGATCAAAGAAGAAACGTCGCTTCTTGGTGCAGGAAGTATTAAGAAATAGAGAATTCTTTGCTAAAGCGATCGAACAAACAACCGTATTTTCTAATTTCTTCCATAAACTGATCCGTGTCAATTTCCACCGTCCATCTTGTCAAAACACACGCCCGTGTAAAAGTTGACAAACAACTGGTTGTCATGGTATCATGCCGCTTGCATAGCATTATTGGACATATTCCAATCGCATGATCGCAGAACTTTGTTCACATATGATCGCACTCGATCGCAGACGATTGCGACCGATCGCATGAATAGAACTTGGTTCGATTCCTGCTATCGCCTGCGATCACGATTGCACTCGATCGTCTGCGATTATAGGTGAACCAGGCTTAACTCAATCAAATCAGGGACCTAGACCCAACAATGGCTTTGTGGTAAACACCAGGCTGTTGCCAACTTCCTTTAAATTGTATTTTTGATAATTGAATCATTGGCAGCTGCAAAGCTATGACATTGAAATACAATCTTGAACTGAAACAGGATTGACTACATCGTTGCAGGCGAGAATAATGTCACGAGGGACTAACAAAAACCGTAACTTAGATGGAAATCATCTCCTCCGAGTTGGTTTACAATTGTGACATTGTTACAAGCCTCTTACACGTGCGTGCGTTTGGTTTTGACAGTCTTGTCTTAGTGCGAGTTGGACAAAATTACCTGTTTACAAGTGCAGTGTTGAAGTACTTTACACTCTCATCATTCCACGATTTGTAAACAATTTCCTTTTGATGCTTAAGCACATTGTGGGAGACACGTGTTTGGTGGAATGAGAAAATCGTGCTTTGCGGTATGTTCTACTATCCTTGTGCTAACTGGAACCACATACATCAAGAGTGCTGCTAGTAAGCATATTTTTAAGATCAGTCTGGATATAACCCTGTTTCAATTGAGAGTCGAGAGAAATGGAACTCCCTGAAACAAATCATCGAGACATTGACCACCGCTGAATACCTCATAGGCTTCAGGAAAGATACAACTGGAGTGTGCAGATGGTTAAGGGATAAGAGCACAGTGGATTTGTCCAAAAAAAGAGAGTGGCCTTGGGCAACGGGACAGCCTGACGACCATGAGAGTCCTGATAACTCCGCGCAGATGTATAGAAATTAGAGGGGCCAAGGGAGGTATAATGATGTGGCTGTGTCGCCGAAATAACTGGTGCAGGACTCATATGTGGATGTAAAGATGGAGGAGTTAACAGTGCTTCGTCGATTCAGATCGAACGAATCTGAGAATAAGAATAGGGAAATCGTATTATTGTCCACTACTTCTCTTAGCAATTATACATATATCATATTTTTTTTCATTTAAGATATTAAAGAGAGACAAAGAGAACTTCGCGCAAATGTACAAGGGTTATCTTAAGAGATATGGGCTCTATCGTAATGTCGGCTGTTCTCCACACAACGAGTATGCTTGGTTCATATGTGAATGTAAATATGGGGGAGGTAATAAAACCTCGATTCACATTGCACGAAACTGAGAATAACAATACAAGCAGGTCCACCATATTACGGCCCCGTCCTTCTCGGTTGCACCAAGGATGATAGCTAAAAAAAAAAAAGTGTGAATGTTAGATGTAACAGTCATTTTGGTTCTTAGTATTGGGCCAATAAACACTTCTTGTTATACAATTTTCTGAATTCTTGTAATATATCATTTTCTTTATTTCAGTATTGGCATTTATGTTTTCCACTACCTAAATAATATTAAATCGCATCAGAACTCCATTTTCCGAGCTACGTTTACTGGGCAGGGAGACAAAGGAAGCAAGCAAAAGGTGGAGTAAAATGGCTGCAGGCCTTTACCTATAGCCGTGTATGTTTTAATCAAGATACAATAAACTGAATTACAAGAAATTGTTGCAAATCGTGAAAAAGAGAACAGTGACTACTGCCCAGTGAAGGTGTGGGCAAATTAATCGCCAAAGAAAAGTGACAAATGAAATAAATTTTCAGCCCCGCCCAGGGAAAATGCAACAAAGCAAAATCAAATATACCTCCAATAACGAGGGAATATAACAGGAGACTGTGTCCCCTGCTAACAGCCCACTTTTATAACCAAGATATGTATAATCATGGGAAATTATTTAGAATTTTTGACGAAATAACAGTAGATACTAATTGCAAAATACTAAGAGACCAGATAGTAGTGGTGCCACCCCAAATCAATCCTTACCATCCAAGTAATTGCATTGACTATATAGCTCTAGAGATAGGACTGATCACCCCTGTCAATCAGTCAATAATGTCTCTAATATTAATTGATATCATATAAAATGCAGGTCAAATATTTAAGATCATGAAGCTAAGTGCTTGCATACCAGAGAGATAAGTGACTGATCACCAATGTAAATCAGTCAGTTTCCCTTATATTGATGTATGAATGCCAAATTAAATTAATGTTGATCAACTAAATTAGGTAGACAACGAAGGAATCCTGATATATTTAGTAAAGGCAGTGGATTGCCATCGCCCCAGAGTACGAATTTGAGAATCCGACAATCCCCTGTCTGCAGCATAATAGGCAGCACCGATACGAAAACTGTGCCCTTTATATCGTGCCGAATCAAGACCGCAAGATTTTACAGCCCGTGAAAGCTGTTCAACAAATAAATTACGCGTGATGGGTTTTCCACAATCATTGAAAAGTGGACCCGGCGCAGGACCCCTGTGCTTCAAGTAAAGTAAGACTGACTATACTGGGCAATGAGATGGCTGGCGGTTGATGACAATGGAGAAAGGGATCTTGTTATAATTGTGTTTGTAATCAGTGAAAGTAGGTTTGAGTGACATAATAGTTCCCGTAGAATCAACAAGTTAAGCCAATTGAGATAATTGAAGAGTGGGGCATGCTCCCTGAGTGGGTGCAGTCATCTCACCAACTCGCAGGAACGCATAAAAGGCTTATCAGCACATAGCACGGAAATAAACTTTGGTATAATTTGGGCAAGAAAAACTATCAGCCAAATCAATACGTTTATGAAGAATAGGTAATGTAATCGGTAATCCTGTATAAACGCGTTGCCCCTTCTTCTTATATCCTTTTTTAACTGCAGGAGTGTATAGTTCTCCCTGGGAAAGGGTTTTGCTCACCTGCCAAGGACTGGCTGACTTGAAATACTGAGTGCTCCACCAATGACTTGGTTTTGTCTTGGGGGTCAGCAACTTCCTGGGCTGGTTCATGTCTGGGAGGCTGGTCCTCACACTGGAGGCCCAGCAATAGTTCTGTATTCTATGGCTGGGGGCGGCGAGTCACCTCCTCTGCCACTCTGCTGACAAGGGTTTCAATTAAAGCAGGGGGGATCATCACTGCTGGACCAACTGAGGTTTGATCCTTTTCCATGTTCAAACCTTCAGAAACACGCTGCCGCTTTTCCTCTGACTCTTTATTGGTCTCAGCTGTTCGCTTGGGAGGCGTGATTCTATAGAAAAAAGCCGAACACTGCAGAATCAATTGTTCACCGACAAAACTGGGTGAGACTATGTCAAGACAATAAGCTGCTGACGCAGGACCTTGATAAATAAAATGTGGGTACGAAATCGTTGCCCTGTTATAAACACACATCCCAATTAAAAACCTCAAAATAGGGGAATAAAACTGTTCCTCCCTGTGATCAACCTCAAAATACTAGGACTAAAATGTTAGCCCAAGTTGCAAACGAGAGCTGCACGGGAAAAAAATTGTCACCGTTGAAATAAACATTAAATTATGGGGGAAAAATTGTTAATTCCAATTGTAAACAACAGGAATATGGGGACAAAAATGGGACGCTAGTTATAAACAAAACGGTTAACCCCAGTTGTCAACGACAGGAAAATGGGGACAAAACTGTTAACCCCAGTTATGAACATTTAAATAGGGGAAAAAAACTGTTAACCCCAGTTGTCAACAACAAGAAGATGGGGACAAAACTGTTAACCCCAGATATAATCATTCAAATAGGGAAACAAAAATGTTAACCCCAGTTGTCAACAACAAGAAGATGGGGACAAAACTTTTAACCCCAGTTATAAACATTTAAATGGGGGAACAAAACTGTTAACCCCAGATGTCAACAACAAAAATTCAGGGACAAAACTGTTAACCCAGTTATAAACATTCAAATAGGGGAACAAAAATGTTAACCCCAGTTGTCAACGACAAGAAGATGGGGACAAAACTGTTAACCCCAGTTATAAACATTTTAATAGGGGAACAAAAATGTTAATCCAAGATGTCAACAACAAAAATTCAGGGACAAGACTGTTAACCCCAATTATAATTACAATACGGTGACAAAAACATCGATTCAATTTAGCCTAGGAAAATTGGAAATCTAGGGACAACTCTGTGTACACCAAGGTCACAAGAA